TGTTTACATGTACATTTATTATATACAAAGCCTAAAATGCATTTGGATAAAGCGCTTTAGACTAAATGAGAATTCAGCATGGACGGTTATTCCTAATGAAGCCACTTCACACTTGGGAGGTTTTTCCTTCCTCTCTAAGTGCTACTGCAGCAGCAAAGATATCAGCATTACGGAGTTACCACTCTTTTATATAAGAATCTATAAGAACACTGCAATACTGGTTTGAGTTTAAGGATACGCAAGATAATACTAAGCCAGGGATAAAAAACACGATCATATGTGACCCTCCACAGGATTTCAATGCTAAAGGTGAAAGCACGCGCACGACACGCTTTCACTTTAAAACAAAAGAATTTATTTTAAGACGCTTTAGCACGCTTGCAATCTTGCCTCATCAGCAATTTCTTTTGTTTCAGAGGACACGCTTGAGACAATTAAGCGTGAGCAAGTCGAAAAAAAGAGCGTCTTAAAGTTTTCAAACAAAAGCTCCGTGCGAAAACGCCAACACGCTTTCAGTGTGCGCAAAAGCACGCAAGGCGTGTTATCTATAAGCTAAGTAAATTTCCTCTACAAAAAGGAACCGTAAATGAAAAAAGAAAAAGTTATACCTCAGTGATCGCAGCGATAGTATCTGATTGAAAAAACGTTGTCGCTTGAAAAGTATAAACAGTGAACGGTGTGACCTACTGGATTTATGGGTAGAACTATATTAGCATTGCAAAATCAAAGTTCTTTCCAGAAATGTTTACTGACGAAGCTGTGCAAAGGTTATCTTAACTTTCCTTAAGACACTTTCTTGCCGATCGCAGCAATCGCGGTCAAATATAATAGAAATCATCAAGTGCCAGGATCGCTAAATTGTATTTATTTTTTAGCGATTTCAAGAATCGTAGTGATCAAATGAAAACCAGCCTGCTTTTCTAGATGTACTAAAATTCCAAAACGTTCCAGCCGACAATAACACAAAAAGCGAAACCGGTATTTAAGCAATGTATGCAAATTTGTTCTTCTTGAAATACGTATTACGCATCGCGTATGCTTCAGCCTTATTGTCCAAATTCCGTAATCATCCTGTTGTCTTTCTTGTAATTGCCGTCTGTTTTACAACCATCTAAACAAACATTCGCGTATGAAGTTACGGCGACCGATTTAGCGCCATCAGCCGGTATTACGCCCTACAATTATTTAAGTGTCTTAAATAGTCTGCTACACGGCCGTTTTAGAAGCTCCTTCCACTGAAAACGGCTGTGTAGCAGACTATTATTTAAGCGGCTCGAAAATAATTCTTTTATGTCGCGCTAGTTTACTGCGTCTTTTAAATGCCTTAGCATAGCGTAACGAGATATCTTCACATAAATTATGATTGATAGCGCTTCGTTCGTCAGGGGCACCTGACGGCGATTTCCTCCTAAATGCATCCTAGCATCCTAGGACAACTTCAGTCTTTTCGAAATTACAAGGGCTTCAGCACTATTTTCCCGAAAAATTTAGCTTCCAATTGAAAGTTTTAGGAAAGTGAGAATTTTATCGTATTTTCGGTTCCGAAAATTTTAGGATTCCTTAATTCTTTACGAAAAATAGCTTAACTGGGGAATGAAATGGAAAAAATTAAACTTCAGAAAATTGTAAGGAATTTATTAGATAACCTTCGAAAATTGCGACATACATGGAACGGTCATCTAGAAATGTTTAGCCCTCCTCAACCTATAGAAAATTCTAGGCAGTTTTTGTTTCTCCGACTTAATTACCTTCGCTCGTCTCAGCATGGCTTAAAGAAATATATTAAACTAATTTATTCAACTTCATTTCTCTGTTGATTACTGCTAATAAATATTCCGGTGCCATAACTATAATTTTCAGGCGACATAACTTCAGTGCCTCGCATGCGATAGCAGGCCTCTTTGCGATTCCGGTCAACAGCCGACAGCCGGAGGAATTGGTTTACACTGATCTCGCGTTAATTCTAGGCTAGACCACCATTAAGTCGTGATTTTCAAATGGCCACGGTTACTATCAAAAATTCCAAAACAGTCTAAATTGGTATATTTGATTCACTTCGACCAGTTATCAATGCTGATTAAATCCGCTGAAAACCCAAGCCATTTTTACCATCTTAGCGGTTTTAGTAATCAAGCGTGTTCAGCGTGTCTTACCCAAATTGCACGCTAACCGTGCTATAATTCGCACACTTACCGTGACATATGGCACGCTACAAAAAAACAAAAGGTTTAGCGTGTTAAATTTGCCAAAACAAAGGCAAGTGTGTCCGTCTTTGTTTTTTCAATTTAATATGCGCATATCCGCCGCTACGGCACGCTAAGCGTGTCGTGCAAGCGTGTAGTGCGCGAATTTAAAACCCGCTACCAAATAAAAACAATTTTTTTGACTTATTACGGAGTAATAAACGCTATTCCAAATGAATATAAAAAATCTATGAATTAAACGAACGTGCAACAAAAACAACCTCCACAGCAAAGTCAGTGCTTGAAAGCACTAACAACCAAGGCTATACGTAAGAGTTTTGTTAATCACATATTTGAGGTACCTACAGCCACGCAACGCCTTTTTGACAATGGGTTACCACCAGACCACATAAACTTTTACTTTAACTTAGCTTTTTCTATCACGAAAGAAACAAAGCTAATTGTGTTCCAATACAAGATTTTACACGACGTAGTTTTCACTGAGGAAAAATTGTTCAGATCTAATATCGCCAAAAGCGATCTCTGTTATCTTTGCTTGGAAACAAAACAAGATCTGAAACACATGCTAGTCTCGTGTCAATTCGTCTCAGAGTTCTGGGAAGCTTTTCTGTACTGGTACGAGTCTCACGTTTCAATAGGGCTAGAACTATCAACCATCAATATCTTGTATGGCTTTTTATTGGTAACATCCCCCTCAATAAGTTAACTAATCATCTCTTACTACTTGCGAAATATCATATCTACTGCTGCATTATCACAGAAGAGCCTTTGTTATTTAGTGTTTATTCAACTATAAGGGTAAACAAAGCCGTGATAGAAAAACAAATTGCAGTAAGCGTTAACTCACCTAAATATTATTATGATAAATAGAAACCTTTAATTGAGAAGAAGTTTGTTCGCTAGCTATATTTAATTCAGCTAGTAAGGTTAATTTACTCAACATTAGACTCGCATTTTATTGTACTTTTGTAGCAAGACTGTAATACAATGTACTGCAATTTATTGTAAAGTATCGTAATTTTTTTTATGTTTGTGTAAGTGTTGACAGAGATTGAAATAAGAAATTTTAAAAAAATGTACATTTATTTGACTGGGAAGCAAAACTATCTTTGATATATCTTCGAAGTGGTCGATTACAGGAGGTGGTCGCTATGAGAGTGTTGACTGTATTCCCACTAAAAAATATATATCATACGTTTTGTAATCGGCCTATATTCCCTGTTTTCCGATTTGGCGTTTCAAAGCCAACGTGAATGGTTTGTTTGGTCACATTAGTGGCCACTTCATTTCGATTTTACATAAATAGTTCTGAATTAAACGTGTTACTTTAGGCAGCTGTTTTATGGTTGAAGTGTTGTATTTGTTGTGTTGGCAGACTCTTGTTGTAATGACTTATTGCAGCAAAGACGTTACCTGCATTTGCTAAGTCGCTGTATTCTCGACAATCGACGACCTAGGAAATGATATCTTTCAGTCATTTTTGCTCATATTACGTCTTCTCGAAGCACTTTCACAATCACACCTTTCGCAATCGTGTCTCCTTTTGCGTGCTGCTCTTGCAACTCCCCCAAATGGAGAGCTTGCTTGCAGCCTATGTTTTGTTCAGTCAGTTTGTCGATGTTAGTTACACATGAGTAATGCATTTAAGTCTCAGTCTTATTAGCAGTGGTTTGTCTGTAAATGGTGTTTAGCAATTAATTTTTGTTTTGTTTTTAGATAGCGCTGCTTTTCCCGGGTAACGATGATTTGGAAGTCAGATATATAGGTCACAGGTGAGGCTTTTGTTTCAAATGCATGTTTTCCTATTTCACATACTCTCGTCCTTTGAATTTTCTAATCTGGTCCTGCCGGTAGATTGTATCACTGGTAAATAGCCCTGAAGTGGAATTGTTTTACAGCATTCGGACTATTCAGTTGGTAGTCTCCAGAAATCCCGCTCTGCTTGGTTTGTCTAGAGGAAGAAAACTTACCAAGCACATCTCACTACATTTCCGGCTTAAAAGGCGTGTGCGAGATATAATGTGGCGACTTCACAATCCCTCTTAACTGTCAGGTTCTATTCGTTCAGGTATTCGATTCTGTTTACTCTTTGCGTAGGCTGGCGAAGTTTCCCGTATAATCTGTATTAGTATATACACACTCAGTGATCTTGGTGATTTACGCAATCTGATTAGTTCACTATCTCGGACTATTCAACAATATTCACCTCCTAGGGAGTGGATAATGTGTGAGCTCGGTGGTTTTCTCAGTTTTTTAAAGAACGATCTCTTAAAAGTCGACAAAATCGTAGGGTTGACTAGAAAGACGTTGAAGGATTCAAAACGGTGTCTTTCCAGTTACTGTAGCTGAGTGCCCGATAGACTGTTTACAACTCCCATTTATTCGCGTAGAAGAAGCCGTTTCGTGAACTCAGCTTGCGTTTCCTAAAAGAAAATTTTGCCCAGAAATTGAAGTTTATTTATGACAAAGATTTTTGAAAGCAAACGTTTGCAAAAATTATACGTTTCAAGTAAACAGGAAAAAAAAAATGGTACAGGAAGACGACGTCTTACCTCCAGCAACCGAGCCGCTATTTTTGTCAGCACTTCATGCGAAGAACGACAGAACAAACCCTTTTGGCTATAAACTTGGCGAGTCAACAGAAACTAACAAAGCTCTACTTTTCTGCTCAAGTAAGGACACAATTCAAACTTTTAACGGTTCCATTTAATCCATTACGCTGTGGTCTGCGAAGTGATAGACTTGTGTTCATTCTATTTTTAAACTTTCGCGTGCTTTGACCAATCAATGAAATTGACTTTTTAATGGTTTCCTCTCTGATTTTGTTAAGATCACTTCGTGTGTATACAATAAAACAATTATTCTTTTCAATCTTGATCATAGTGGCTCTAGGAATATTTAACTAACCAAAACAAACGTCAACAAAAACTTCGCTAGACAAGACAAAACTGGAACAATACTTGAGCCTGGGAAAAAAATTATCTGTTTCTCACTCCCAGCCCCTTCACGCCTCGGTAATAAACAACCACCACTCACTTCGATTTCAAAGGTAATTGTTAAATGTACTCCAAGCTTTACCTTTTTAAGCCCTTTGGAGAAAGCCAATCACATGTTGCAAAACCGCCATGCTTGAGTGCAAGAAACATACTGGGTCAAGAAAAACAAAGAAATTGACCATTTTAAACGATGTAAGCCTTTTGTTTGTCTTGTCTCAGTGCTTCCCTCACTCTAAAGCATGGCGATTTTGTACCACATCAATGACTAGCTGCAAAGAGGCTTTTGACACGCGTCTGTAATGTTTGTGGTAAACATCATAGTACCTAAATCCTCACCTAAAAGTAGTTGTTCTGTATTTTTAATCCTCAATGTATTTTATGCGGCAAAGATCCTACTTAGTTGATATAAAGACAAGTATACAGACAATAACAAAAAGGGTAGTGTAGGAGCTGCTCGTAAGGTCTCTCCTGATTGGTAGCAGGAAACAATTACATTTCATTCTTTCAATTGTTTTAGTATTGTTTGGGGTCAGGGCTAGGCACCATTGGTAACCTCTCTTCCAAACAGCTGCTACATGACCCGACAAAAAAATAACATTAAGATTGACATAATGCCACATAAAATAACATATTGTGGCGTCACAGGCACACCACACGAGAAAAAAAAATCATCTCATTGTCTTTGTACTTGCAGTTGTGGAAGTTTGATTGTCGAACTGGCCCTTGGATTCGCATCACTTGTATCAGAAGTTTCGGTAGTGAACACGCTTCGAACGGCTGACACAAATAACAATTTTGGAGAATTCGCTGTCAATGCTTCGTCCATACAAGGGATTGCTGTAATTGAAAGTCCGTCCACGCCTCCTACAGGAAAAATTACGGCAAGACCCTCTGATGGTATGGTTTAATTAAATATGTATAGTTTTCTCCATGGTTTTTCAGTTATCAAATCGTGATTGAGAGTGTGTTAAATGATAATGCGACTAGGCGCTTTGTCCAGCTTTGTAGTGGTTTCAAATGTACTCAAATGCTATGTAGCCGAGATTGTTTGCTTCTCTACTTTAAAAGGGTTAACCGTGAATTTGTGAATAAAAATGTTTTTCGCTCTTTTCCTTCCAAATCATGTCCAGTGAGATACAAATCACGTCAAAGAGAAAGTAAAATCAACTATAATTACATTTGATTCTTAAGTCGCGCACAAGCCGATTAATGAAATGGATTTATAAAAAGAGCTACGAATTGCTCTCTCTGAAAAGAAAACAACAACTTAATAACAGCCTTCAAACCTCTAATCTGAAATTTATGTCATGTTAGGCCCCTTTCAAACATGCAATTTCTTATGAGTGCCGAACACCTATTTTAGTCGATGAAAGTAGTTAAAAACGGCAGTTGATTTAGACGTCGGATATGATGGAGCCGAGTTTATCTCCGTTTGTTGCAAATATTCCCAGTCTCGAGAAAAATTTTTTTAGTCAATATGGATAAGGGTTTCTATAATTAATGCATTATATTCAGCACATCTGAAATGCCGCTTCTAAATCAAATGTCGAACCTAAGTCAAATGTTCGACTGTTTCAGTCGCAGATTCGATAAAGTCGTATTTAATTTGAAACTGTCGAATTTAGTTGATTCAGACGTCCCATCTCAAAGCAGTTACCCCTCGAATTAAATAATGCACAGATGAAAATCGAATATTGAGCTGAGTAATGATAGATACGCTATGATACATACCGCATTTTTTTAAATTCCTGTAAAATTTGCTTTCAATTTACCACATTATGTTACTAGCTTAAGAGCCCATGACTGTAAATATCGAGAATCGCTGGCCAGGCTAAAAAAGATCGAAAATTCTGATAATTTGTCAGAAAAACCCCTTTGGAGAACTGTCTTCGAAAAAAATAATTTTAACTTTCAAGAATCTATAGTTTTCGATAAAATGAGAAAAAACGAAAATAGCGGTTTTTACCTAATTAATTATGCTAAAATTAGAGTAAAAATGACCTACTTTATCGCGTCTGTACCGAGACAAGATTCAAAGCTATAAAACAGAAATATTTTTGTTTAAAAGAATTCTATCTTTTCTTTTTATCCATGGTATGTTTTAAACCATAAACTTAATTTTGAATTTTTTATGGTTTTTTAAAAACTACCATCAATAGCACTTTTTAAAATAGCTTAAAAAATGAGCAACTTCAGAGGCAAAAAATTTATCTTGGTAAAAATTTATCTTGGTAAAAATGACCTACTTTATCGCGTCTGTACCGAGACAAGATTCAAAGCTATAAAACAGAAATATTTTTGTTTAAAAGAATTCTATCTTTTCTTTTTATCCATGGTATGTTTTAAACCATAAACTTAATTTTGAATTTTTTATGCTTTTTTAAAAACTACCATCAATAGCACTTTTTAAAATAGCTTAAAAAATGAGCAACTTCAGAGGCAAAAAATTTATCTTGGTATGTGTGATACCTAGCCAAAATGTATATTAGGACAAAGTTCAGCTCTTATTTTAACAGAATATGAAATAAAAACTCTGGGTACTTCGGATTCGCCTTTACAAAATAAAAAGTTTCGTGACCACCAATGGAAAAATGTCACAAATTTGCGTAAGTCACATTTTGAGAGAAATGATGCCGCCTGATTTATCTTTGTAGTTTCAGTACGAGCTATAATCGAAACGTAGGGGGAAGGATGAAAGCGTCTTTAAATGAAACTAAAATTAAGTAAAGGATCTGAAAAATTGATATCCCTGATAACAAATTGCTGTGAAGGTTGGTGACACAATGTGGCAAATTTGCATATAAATGCACCTGCATATTCCTTTCGTACACAAGGATGGGTTTCAATACTGTTAGCATCACGCAATATTTGAGGCTTGAAATAGCATAACCAAGAGAATAGCTAATGTTAAATGTTTCGTAATTTGTACGTTAGCTCTTCTTAATTGTAGATTATAAAATTAAGGTTGCTCAGCAAGTGTTGTTGGGTGTTGGAATACTGTATTCTGCAATTGCGCGGACCGTTGTCAAACTCCGCACAGTCAGACTTTATTTTTACCGGTACGATAAAAAAATGTGAGCTTATGAATTTTGTAAAGAAATATTATTCATGTCATTTCACCTTTACTTTATTCACCTGAATGAATTTCGCGGTCGTACATCTTTCGTGGAGTGGGTACATGCTTTTATGGTACCGATCTTAGGGATTTGCCACTAATAACACTATACATCAGACCCTATAAGTTTTCAATCAATAAAAATCCGAAATAGTTAATTTTCTCATTAGTTTTTCAAAGTTATATTTTGGTGAAATTGCCACGTCTCGCATATTAAAAATAACAATCAAGTAAAGACAAGATTAAAGTAATCATTGCGCCCTTTTCTCTCTTTTCTGAAATTCTTCTACCTCCTCTTTCTGCCTCTTCACTGTTCGTGCGTTCAACACTATTAAGTCCAGACACAATTTCGAACACCCAAAGATGGTCAAAGATCGCCAAGTGTACCGACCCGTAATTGTGTCATTGATTAGTTGAAACCTTCATTGAACGGACGGTGACGGATCCTTGCAATTGTCCTCAATAGAAAAAGTAAATCAGATGGAGGGGGTAGTGCCGACACTGCGGTCGCTTTGGTGTTGTTTTTTTTTTTAACCATGAATATCCTTCATGAACTCATTTAGCTTTCCACGTATTCACCAAGGTTATAAACTGATCAAAATCAACAAGGATGGATTTTTCCTTTGGTACCTTATTTAGCAAATTTTCACCTATCTTCATGTATCTTGAGGGAGTTACACACACAAAAAAGCAACATTTGGGGTAAAAAAATCTGCTTCCAATTTTTCTATTCACCTTCTATTCTCTACAGATTAATCAAATGTCTCTTTCCTGAAAAGATAGCCAGCCAAAATTCCTTGCTAAACAAAGACAGTGGGAAGACGATCAAGTGACGGAGCAACAGAAGAAGAAAGGCAAGGGGAGCGGGAGAGAAAGATCGATATAGGTTCGAAAGAGATGTCCAAATTTTGGCTTCTGTGAATGCGCCAAAAAAGCTTCTAAATTAGTGTACGTCTAATTGAGCAGTCTTGTGTTGCAAATCTCTTTCTCAGCCATTCCCATATCAAGCTAACTGGCTAGCCTGCATAACAGGCGTGCGTTTTTCAGGCGAGCGAAGGCAATTAAGCCCGAAGCCGGAGTGAATGCAAGCGCGAAGCGAGTAAGGAGAGCCATTAAGGGGTATTTCTGGGGCGGAATGCAAAAAAGCAATGGTATGTGGACAGGCCGTTGTTTTTTCTGCGTCTTCCCCGTCGCGCTTGTCTGGCGCTTCTCACTCACTTCGCGCTTGCCTTCGCTCTCCAGTAAAAACGCGAAAAAAATTTTATAACGCCTGTTATGCAGGCTACTAACTGGTTGAAAGCCGGTCCAAAACGGAGGATTTGGTCAAAAAAACAATGGTATAACTTGAGGAAAAATGACACACAGGACCTTGTTCCAAATTTTAGAAGAACTGATGGTTTTAAATATAGTTTTTTTAACCGTATTGTAAATGAATGGAGTGGTTTACCCAATCATATTAGAGAATCAAACAGTATTGCAACTTTTAAAAAAAATGCTTTAAGTTTTATTAAGGATAACTAGAACATTTATATTTCTATTTGTATATATTTTTCTGAACAAGAAGTGATTTTGAAAAGCATTTAACTATAAAAAATTGCGATAAAACATTTCTTAAAATCATTTTAAGATTAAAAAATTGCTAAAAAGCGACGACGTTTCGACGTTAGCTGAACGTCATTATCAAGTCCAAATAAGTTAGTGATTTTTGGTCTATAAATACTAAAAAAAAACAACAATAGCTGATTGAAAAATTGTAACGTGAGAAAATATTAAACAAAAAAAAAACAAAAACAAAAAACAAAAACAAAAACGAAACTTTTTGTTTAATATTTTCTCACGTTACAATTTTTCAATCAGCTATTGTTGTTTTTTTTAGTATTTATAGACCAAAAATCACTAACTTATTTGGACTTGATAATGACGTTCAGCTAACGTCGAAACGTCGTCGCTTTTTAGCAATTTTTTAATCTTAAAATGATTTTAAGAAATGTTTTATCGCAATTTTTTATAGTTATATATTTTTCTTATCTTTTAATTAGTGGGGGCATCCCTAGTATGGCGCATTGGCGCTTTTGGTTGTCTCCTTCTCCTTATTATTATTATTTTATTTATTATTACTTTTTTATGGTAGTGTTAGCTTATTTGCTTGTAATGTAGTGGAGTGAATCTGTAATGAATAAATGAATAAATAAATGAAAAGGAGGGGTTTCTTCTACTAAAAATGGTCGTCAAAAAAGAGTTAAAGGGGCTATGCCAAGCTAATTGCTAGTTCATTTTAAAAAGCTAATATGGTCTTCATTTCGTATCAATTTAGTTCCAAAGATTATGGTCCAGTTTCATTACGTAAGACTATATTTAGGCACTGAAACTGTTTTCTGTTGCGTTCTGTTGCTACTGATGGCCTGGATGGACATAGTCTGAAAATTGGAAAAATTGGGCCATCTTTTTCAAGCTTAAATGCATCACCCAAAAAGATATTTTTGGCTAGTGCTCCCTGATGAATGATATCTTCTTCATACCCTACATGTAACTCTACACTGAACATTTTTGGACAGGGTAAAGGCAGTAAGTAATGACTTTAGCACAGAATCAACCTAAAACAGCAGATATACTAATTTAGGGTCTTCTTGACAAGAACTGTCACAGGCAGCCCAGAACCCCCGCTTCACACATTGACAATCTGTAACCAGCTGTTGTCATGTTTCGTTCCCACGGATATATAACATTACATACCGTCCAAACTTAAGGACACTGTAATTAGAGGGCTTGCTGCTAAGAGGGAAGTATCTGAATAATGGATTTTTTTTCCTGGTATCACAAATTGCTAGAGCTAAAACTTTCATGGTCAAAATTCCAAACCAAGGAGAAAAATGTTTTCCCTTAATTTTTTTGGTGACGGCACATGTTATTCAGCAGTTAAATAGCCTGCACCCCCCCGCATATGCCATAGCTACACATCAATTTAAGAGCAGTTTTATCGCATAACTCTTCTTTCCCTTTGTCTGAAGTTCTTTCCTTCTTTACTTTGGGAAACGGTTAGGCGTAAATAAAACCGCCGATGCCACTTACTTACCTCGCTATGTTATTTAGCTTCTTGGTCGCTATCAACTACCCTGCGAGCAGAGGCCCTTCGATCTTCCTAGATAAGTCGGGAAGAGGAAGAAAAGGGTAGCTATCAACCGTTCCGGTGTAAAGGCACGAGCTGGGACATTGCGGGTACTGACGTTAATACTCCTGACCAAAAGGCAGGTATTTCTTTAAACAAAACTCGGGTCTGCTGTAAACTGAAAAACGTAGTCAAGTTGCGCTTTACTCTGCGTCGCCTTACTGCCCGGTTAGTAAATGGTACTTACGTCGATATAAATTCGTTGCCGCATGCTGCGATAGGCCAGGGGCGTCAAGGATGACCTTTCTGATGCTTCTCTTTTCAAGATGATGCCACGATTTGCAAGCACTTGACATGGGTGGCAGTTGGTTAGAGTAGCTCAAAAGCGATGAACAAGGAGTCTGAAAGGTGATTTACTCTGTTGGAGTACAGTTGAACCTCCATGTGCGACCACCTATCCAAAACACCAAAACCCACCCAGTGAAGTCTTACGGTTGGAATCTCTGCTGTAAGCTCCCGCGACCACTAATTGGGGCTGACTGTGTAATGATTTTGTATTTTTTTAACCTCTTGTAAGCGACCACCTGACGAGTTTAGTCTGATCTCTTGTGGTAGGAACAACAGCAACATGGAACTGCACATTTCGTGACTTGGGAATTGGATGCAATAAATTATCTTCCTTAAAGTAGATGTGTCCAGTTTTCTTCTCAAAGAAACCTCCTGTGGTTCGATTCTCGTAAGAGACCACCCCCCCGTTAGCGACCACTAAGTCTGCGCATTTTGGGTGATTGCTTTCAGGAGGTTCTACTGTACTCTCCTTTTCCAGTTCTTCGGCGGCGTCGGTTGGAACTTGTTTTGGTTCATGGGTTTCGCGTATAGATTTACACACTAAGGCGCTGCCATATTATATTTTGAAATCAACAAATACCATTTTGTATTTGAAGGAAAACGCCCCTTGGCAGGTGGTACAACTCCGCGATGACCTAAAAGGGACAGTTTTTTGCGGGAAAGATGTTTGGACTCGTTTTGGATGAGAGAAACCGCTGGACCGTAAGAACTACGATCACTTAGCTGTTTTCTAGGGCCTTTGGTAGCTGCCTAATTATACCTCTATTTGTGAAAAAGTAAAGAAATTAACCAAGGGACGGTTTGTTGTTTGTAATACGTAGTAAAAAAAGCTCAGATTTCAAAATCTCTGACAGGAAAATGCTAACTTTTAGTGCGTGACTGACAGGCATGCAAAGTTGGTATCCCCTCTTTCTGAAAAGAAAATAAACTACTGAGAAACAATGATGTTGCGAACAACGCATTGTCTGTTCGAAACAAAGTTTCCATAAAATTTCATAAGGAGAAAAAAATCAGTAAAAGAAGGTGGAGCTGTTCGAGACGTCGTTTATTACTATTATTTTTTGTGAACGGTTAATTACTCTGATCTTTTAACATAAACTTTATCAAAAAACGTTTTCTTGCTTTGTGATGTTTCCGAACATTACATACTGACCCTGAATTGAAACAAAACCGGCTGCCGCAACATTTCTCTACAAATTTGAATTATGCAAATTTGTGACATTTTTCCACTGGTGGTCACGAAACTTTTTATTTTGTAAAGGCGAATCCGAAGTACCCAGATTTTTTATTTCTAAATTCTGTTAATATAAGGGCTGAACTTTGTCCTAGTATACATTTTGGCTAGGTATCACACATACCAAGGAGAGTTTTTTTTGCCTCCGAAGTTGCTCATTTTTCAGCCATTGTAAAAAGTGCTATTGATGGTAGTTTTTAAAAAACCATAAAAAATTCAAAATTAAGTTTATGGTTTAAAATATACCATGGATAAAAAGAAAAGATAGAATTCTTTTAAACAAAAATATTTCTGTTTTATAGCTTTGAATCTTGCCTCGGTACAGACGCGATAAAGTAGGTCATTTTTACTCTAATGTTTGCGTAATTAGTTAGGTAAAAACCGCTATTTTCGTCTTTCCTCATTTCCTCGAAAACTATAGATTCTTGAAAGTTGAAAATATTTTTTTCCAACATAGTTCCCCAAAGGAGTTTTTCTGACAAATTATCAGAATTTTCGATCTTTTTTAGCCTGGCCAGCGATTCTCGTTATTTACAGTCATGGGCTCTTAATAATATACACGATTGGCTGAGAAAGGAGTGCAGTTCTTCATTAACACGAGTGCAAACTTGTAACACGAGTGCAAAACTTGTAACAAGAATGCAAATTACAAATGGTTTCTGATTGGCTGAAAACACAAAAGAAACCACCAAGAACCAATCAGATTTAATAGAGCTGTTTTACCAACAAAATTCAAGAAAATGGCCACGATTTTCAGCAGACGACAACGGGATTTAATTTTGTACGCAAAACAACAATAGAAAAGTTGACAAAAATATTCCAAAAACCCGAACACAGTAAAAAGTACGTCTTTCTGGCTAAATGTATTCAAGATGCGTTGCTAAGAGAAAAATGCTGTCAACAGAATCGAGGAAAATGAGCCAGAGAAACTAAAAAACAAGCTACTCGTAACAGACTACGCTAAGGTAAAAAAATAAAGAACAAAAACGGTTGCAACCACACACGCAAACCATGACAGCTACACTTTGCAGGCATTGAAATGAACAAGGGTAACAAAAGGGATTTCAAGTCACTTACGTTATTTGTTGGAGGAGAAAGGTGTCCGGTTGCTCTCTTTGAGTCTTTTGTGGAGCGAAGGCCTCTATTAAAACATCCTTGCGATGGTCTGTTCTTTTCTACCTCAGTAGCAAACAAAACCGAAAATTTAAACATCTGGTCCAAACTAAACCAATGGGCGAAAATACATAACTAGCATAATGAAAGTATCCGTGGCTGGTACTAGCCTTAAAGAAAGTGAGAAAAAAGTTTACGAATCATAGTCCACGAAAAACAACAGTCAGGAAGCTGAAGAAAGCAAAGGTTGTAAGTTCAGAACATATCACCAATGTCACAGGCCACAGAGGTATAAATTTCCTTAACGACTACGATGAAGCCGACGAAGAAGAGCTACGATATCGACTCTTGCAGTAAGCCAAATGAAATCCCCAGCGCTGAGAAAAAGCAAATATTAATATATTAATACTGGCAGTTTCACAACATCTGTGGCTCCACCCATCGATGGCAGCTTCGAAAGAAAACAAATAAACGCCTTCATTTTCGGGTTTTAAATCTCATAAATTTCTCAATGAATCTATCTTTGGCTGCTCGAAGTGTTCTCCTGATTTCAAAAGGGCAGTATACAGTATGTTGCCTAGTATCCGGACGGTACCAGTATCCGGACACTTAAAACAAAAACTCAATTTTTGAGGCGCCCTTTTCAGTTATCGGTAAACGAAGTATTTCGAATGAAAGCTGAACATTTCAGCTTTCAGATGAAGGTTTTGGCGAGTTGGAAGCTTGCGAAACAGTCGCAGAAGACGCCGTTCTGTTCAGGTCAATAAACATTTCATGGTTAACATTAATACGCTGTTTACTGCGCAGTAAAATTAGTGCTGCTCAGAAAAGGGTAGGTAATATGTGATATTTTCAAAGAAACGGTTTTACATTCAAAGTGAAGATACTTAAAGAAGTCAGATTCTCAGAAAGTTTATTTATTCTTCTTGAAATTCGATTTGTTTGGAATAACGGAGCCCAGAAACATTCACTAAGTATTGATGTCAGGTACCCAGTATCCGGACAGTTTTTTCTTTGCTGTACAGAATCGATACAGTGTAAAGAATTGTTGAGAAAAACAGCAGAAACTTTCCAATTTATGACAAAAAAGGTACTTTAAAAACGAACTAAAACATTCAAAACGCTTTGATTACGTGACCGATCCGATGTCCCACTTTTGGTCATGAAAAAAGTATCAGGTAGAACATTACTTTCCGGCAAATTTTCTCTTCCGTGTGATTAAAGCGACTGGTGACGTCATCACCTTATATGTGACACGGGAAGATATTGTATGGCAAATGTTATTTTGTTGTGGTCCGACAGTGTTCTACGTACAAAATTGTCAAAGTTATAAAGCTTTTTAAAAAATTGCCTCAAAGGATTCTGGGAGATTTCTTATGACAGTTATAATTTACTTTTAATATATAGATTTAGCCAGGGCTAAAAACGAAGCTCCCATTAATAAATTCATAATTTAAATCAAACAATGAACTTGTAATCCACAGATCAAGGCACATTCATGTGACTTTTGAGGCTAAAGCTAAGTGATTTTAGAGAAAAATAATTCGAGATGCTGCTTCTGAAGGTCATCAAGTGTTCCAGATTCGCTGGAGACTTTTCAACCCTCTTACGCCTCAAGCAAGGGCAAGTGAGTAGGCTCATTTTTTAAAACGATGCCACCCGAAATCGGATTTCCAATGACTTTGACAAGCGGTACATTTGTCAACAAAAAGCGCAATAAACAAACCAGCCATGAATTAAAGAACAATCTTGATAGCAGCTGTATTTCATTTTGTACATCAAGAAGAAAAAGACAGTTTAAAACATCACAAGATGACACAAAACTCTGTCAGCTTCAGCTATCAGTAAGCAAGTTTCCAGACGCTGCATAAATTTCCCACATGAACTCAATTGTCAAATTTTGACTAATCAGAACATAAAAATTGGACGTAGAGCGTGATCAACGCGTGACAGTTAGAAAAGTCAAAGGCGATTGCCCTCCCTGCGTGTGAAAACCGGTTGAATTTTCGCGTCCGAGGTCAGTTCGAAATCAAAATTTAAAAAAGTGCGGCTCATGAACACGACTTATTTCATATGCATTTTAAAAAAAAATTGAACTTGAGCCTGGGATCCAACGTTTACAACTAGCAGGATCTTCGTCCACGGTTTTTGCAGTTAATTTGATCATTTGAAAAGTAGCAACTTGTCAGCGGATGACTTCAAAAAACACTCAAACCCAGTGGGACGATACCTGAGCCCGCGATACGGTCAGGCGATACTGGTCAGCAGAACCACTATTTTGACAGCTGTCAATTAATCAAAACATGGATGTACAATATCGGATTGCAGGCTCCCAAACTAGCTAAAACGTGTGCGATTAAACATTGGTATGCCTGTGGTGCCGACGGATGGAAGGTCAAGTGGTCGGTGTACGATCACGTGATTGCCGAATTTTCTAGGATGGATAGATTTTCTGAGCTATGGGGCTTCGAATTGAGGCTGTGATCAAATAAAATATCAGTAGACAACTTTAAAAGCTACGTGACCTCAATAGATAGAAAAATGAGCCCGCGATACAGTCAGGTGATGATGGTCAGTGAATACTCTAGTTTGACAGCTGTCAATTAACCTTCATTAGAATGGTGAATATTCGAATTAACAGACTACGAGAGTGAGTAAGACATAGATTGTAAGGGTGAGGTAGGGGAGACTACCAAAAGGGAGGGAGGGGGTGTCTTGGCAAGTCCACATCTTGTGTATTAGACATTCAGAAAATGGTCAATTGACAGCTGTCAAAACAGGATAGCCACTGACCAGTATCACATGACCATATCGCGGGCTCATGTGTCATGTCTCATCGAGGTGAGGTGATTTATTTGGAAGCTGTCCGCTGACCCGTTAATTGTTCAATGTTCAATCTCATACTTTCTAGCTAGTTTAAGAGCACAGGAAAACTGATAATGCTCCAGGGGGCCCCCTGTAATGCACACACATTGGACATCAATGTTGTGATCAATTGAAAAACAGTACCCTGTGAAAACAGGGTACCAGTATCACTTGGGCTCAGCTGTCGACCCATCGAGGTCAAGTATTTTTTTTGAAGTTATCCGCTGGTTACTAGTTACTAGATTTCAAATGATCGCAGGCTCAAGTTTAATTTGTTTAAAAATTCATATGAAATATGTTGTGTTTCTGTGGAGCACAATTAAAATTTTGATTTTAAACTGACCTCGGACGCGAAAATTCAGCTAGCTATTACAGGCAGGGAAGACAGTTGCTTTTGAATTTGCTCTCCATGGTCACACGTTGGTCACGCTCTACGTCCATTTCTGATTGGTCAAAATTTGAGTTCATGCGGAAAATTTATGCAGCATCTTGAATCTTGTTTACCTTGACAGCTGAAGCTGATAGAGCTTTGTGTCAACTTGTGACGTTTTTAACTGTCTTTTTCCTCCGTTTTTAACTATGTTGATGTACAAAATGAAATTCAGCAGCTATCAGCAGTCTTCTGTTATTCATGGCTAGTTTGTTTATTGGGTTTTTGGTTGAAAATACGTCACTAGTCAAACTCGGAAATCCGATTTCGGATGGCATCGTTTTCGTCTTTCACCTTGCTTGACGCGTAAGCCGGTTGCAAAGTCTGACGCGGTACTGGCCTTACTTGATACCTTTCAGGGCTGCATCTCGAATGGTAAGCCTGATTAATTATTGTATTTGATGTTTTTTTTTTCTATCTAATTTAATGAAGTCGAGCGTAGTTTATGCGGCTATTTAGTTTCTGCACGTTTGTAAGATTTGAGACAATGATCTGACCGAGTATCAGGTTTTAAATAAGCTTACAGAACTTTAAAAAGCCTTTAGACATTTTCTCACCGAAAATAGAAAGAAAACGTTAGTCGTTTTCGTCGACAAAACAAATAGCAATATCGCTCTCCGCGTGTTCCGCCATTTTTTCCGCGTCAATTCGTGAAGAACGCGTGGATCTGAGCGTGGGTCATCCACGCGGAACACATTAGCGCCATGTGATTGGCTGTTGCCTAATCCCCCTTGATTACCATGACGTTACTACCCAAATATGGGGTCTTACTTACACCCAAATATGGTCAAAAATGCAAATTTTAGAGGGTTAGGCAGAATTTGAGAGTGTTTACCTACACTGCGCGGCGTTATAATTCTGCTGCCGAGTCAACCTCGCTTCTTAGCTCGGTTGCCTCGTTGGCAATAATTTAAATCAAACAATAAACTTGTATTCCAGTTAACTTTAGAGCACATGGAACATTCATGTGACTTTTGAGGGAAAGGCTAAGTGATTTTAGAGAAAAATTATTTGCAAACAGCCCAAGAGTGAACAAAATCTTACATCTAGTTGATAGCCTCGATGGTTTTTGGCGCTTAAATCTCGGTATGTATATAATAAAGTGGTGTGCGTACAAGTAACAAATTGTATAGTCGGGCTGACGAATAATTGTGCAGTGAAGATAAATGAATTTGCAGTTAAATTGTTTCCAGGTTTCTTTTCGCAATTTTTCTTTATTCAATCTCTATTCACGTACATTGTGCCGTTTGCCATAGCCGAATTAGGTCATAAATGTGTTGAACCGGCAGCCACACTAAAATGTGAACCCTTAAACAGCTGCATCACTGTACTCATCGTTGGAATCATGAAGATATTCAAATGTTATGCTTCTGAACGCCTTTAGCCGTAATAGAAGACAACAAAATTGTGAAGAACTAAAATGGCGATCTCAAAGTGCCCTTGTTTGATCTTTACAGCAGCAATGTCATGTTTAAATGTCAAAATCTCATTGGTTCCTAGCAATCAACTCATAGTACCTTCAACCTTATTGGCCCCTGCAAGAAACATCCATACATACGCTTAGACCACTGACATATGAGCTGGTTTTTTTTTTCAAAATTGCTCAAAAATGGACCAGCAGGATTGACGAGAAAATGATATGATTAATATCTTTATTAATATTCGTACCAGTAGACATCGTTTTATTCATTCATTTTAATCACCTGTAAATTAACGAGAGCTTTAGTCAACGGTACGAGTGTGAACTATAAGAGGGCCTGATAATTAACCCGTACAGTGTAGGTACAAGAAAAAGGTGTTAGGATCATGAATGCGTTTGTCTTTCTTTATTTAAACTTAACTCGCAATTGATGGAACAAGGAATTGAAGTGAAACTGCATGCATATGTGTTATTTGCCAGCCGAGAGGTCCGTATAGTGTATTTAAATCTTTTTCCTACTCATAAGATTTTCAGGAAAATTTTGCTTCAGCCTTAAACTTATGTGCGTTTGTGTATGTGTTGATGTAGCGCGCTATCGCCAAAACTAAATTTCACAAGGTTTTTACATGTAGTTATCACAACATGTAATTATTATCCCAAATCAAAGTTTCCTCATTATAAAGAAAGGTGTGTATCTTGATAGACAAACCAGTTAATTCGTTCCTGTGTCAAACAAGTATAAAAGAGTCAGCATACTTGAGAAAATTAAGTATGTTATTATATGATCTAGCAGTGCTCTTCGTCCGTTTTATAGTAAAGTGCATCTCAAACATACACACTAATAGTAATCACCAGTAATCATGGAACCTTCTGGAGCTTAATTGAAATTGCTTTTCGTTACAACTATTGTAATGAATCGCAGCGCTGAACTATTACAATAAAATGGCAATGACTGCTTGTCTAATTTCAGACGATAAACTGCCAATCATTCTTGCTGTCGTCATACCCATTGTTGTGCTTGCTGTCTTTGCTGGAGTCTTTGCTTGGTGGCTGTGGAGGAGAAATAAGGGCACGACGATGGCCAACAGGGGTGATTATATAAAGCTATATAACTTCAGAAATTTGTTCGAGCCCTCTGTGTTCAAAGTGCAAAACAAGCAGTACAGGCGAAATTTTGGGAAGCGTTTCGTACAAACCCCTACATTTATAATGCATACTGCAATTTTAAACTGTTTCACACAAATAACTTACATTACTGGAAACATCTATGCATAATAAATGTATAGGGCTCTAGGGATAGATCACCATAATTTAATTCCCTTCATTCTTAAAGCACTGAAAGGTAATTATAGACTTCGCTGTAATAAGTTGGTAAATGTTAAGAATAAAATTTCTAGACTGTCAAACTAACAAAACCGTGAACATCTGAAATATTTGAAAACTTTTTACTATGATGGTGACCAATCACAGCATGGATCAGGACACACGAGCAAACCACATCGCAGAGCCACAGGACACAGGAAGCCCAGGCTCTATGGACGTTCGTTTGCATTTCAATTTTATAGGAGAATGTATGAGAACAAACAAAATATGTCCTTAATTCCGCTTTTTTAATTTTTGAAAAGATTCGAAATAAAATGGCTCAAGTTTTTGCTTTGTGTTTTACAGATCAGTTCGCTCCTCGACTCATCTAGAAGCCATTTTGGCACGTTTTAGATTTTTGAGTTGTACGTACCATAGGAAAGAGAAACGTCCCTTACCAGAATAAAGGGGAGGGTTATTTATTATAACAGAGATGTATAGTAGTAGTACCATAAGGGAAACGTAGGGTTCTTATAATTATAAAACTATTTTTTTGTCAATTTGCCGGAATGTTATGGAGGACATTTTGCTTAACAAAAATACCGTTAAAAATGTTATTTTGCAAGAAAAACAGAACAAAAAAAAAAAAAGAAAAAGCCAAGTTGATCTGTTGTGGCAATTCAACGCCTGGCTGGACTTATTGCAAATTTTTATCTTTATGATATAAATCCGACCTGACCGTTTTCTGATATCTTTAGCGACAGAATCAATGCTCGAACTTGAAAAGTATTCCTCTCACCAATAAATATCCAGTCGACCTACCTTAACTAACGGCGTTGTTACTTTAACACCCTGCTAAGTTTAACGTTTTAATTCTCTTACAGGGATAGCAAAAGGAGGAAGGTAATCTCATGTTTTGGTGGTAGCTTCAGTACTCGCAATTAGTCCTTTGATGTATCCGACAAAAATAAGTTATTTGAATAACTAGTACTGTTCCTGGCATCGTTATCGTCGAGCAATGTTAAGTTATTAATAATAATAATAATAAAGTCTTTATTCATCAAGAGATAAAAATACATATCTTTTGTTACAAGTAAGTGTAAGAAATTTAAAAAGTTAAAAAGTAAGAAATAAAAAATATATACCGGTATATATATCTAGTATATTACATAGCTAATTCATATTTAAAAACTAAACGATTAATAAAAGAGTTTTTAAAACGCATAGTGTTAATCTTAGGTTTAAAACTAGTTTCTTTTCTAAGATTGTAGCTGGAGGGTTTAACACGAGGCATAATAGATAAAAGTGGATGTCCTTTGGCATTAAAAACTTTTTTAAAAATTTTACGGTCTTGCCTCTCTAAGAAATCATAAACACTTACAGGCTTAGACGTATATTTCCTTTTAAAACAGCGGTCTAAGAAACATTGTACGGGTGTAAGATCGGACTCGGACGCGGCGTAGACAGATAATGCGTAATTAATACTAGGTAGAACTATAGTATTAAAGAGAAGGTCTATTTCTGACTGATTGTACCCTTCTTTGCGCAGCGTTCTAAGGATATGTAGGGATTTGTTAGCTTTAATAAGTTCCAGAGACAAAGGATTTAACATTTAACGTTAAATTACTTAGTTTTAAGATGTGGACGCAACGTGGCCAAGTGGTTAGAGTACTGGACCGCCCTGACCGCTAGTTGTATTTGTTCTCGGTAGTCCCGGGTGTGGTTCGTCGGTGTCGCATGTGAAAAAGCCAACTGGTTTACCTTCTATAATTTTGGAATTCTTAACATCGTTATGTTGCCTGTGAATTATTTGCTTAATGCTGATTATCCCTTAAAACGACAAAACTGAAGCTAACTGTGATCACTCATTTAAACAAAGAGAGAGCGAACGTCGAGCTTGCATGTGTGTACTCTAATTTGCTGTCCTGTTGAACCATTTCAGGTTGTATGCTACTACATGTGAAAAAACAGGAGAACTTGATGTATGTTTCATGTCAAATAGCTACGAAAAATAACACATCATAGACCCAGTGCAAAAATGGGTCATGTAGCAGCTGCCCGGAAGAGAAGTCACCAATGGTGCGTTTTCCTGACCCCAAAAAAACAGTAAAGCAATTCGAAGAATGACAGGTCATTGTTTCCCGCGACCAATCAGGAGAGACCTTAGGAGTTACCAGCAGCTCCTACACTATCCTCAGAAATGGCTGCTGGATTAATATTCTTTTATGTACATTAAAATTAGCCTAACTAGCCTCCCTTGAGATAAAGTATTCTTTGGAAATTTTCACTTAAGAACAAGGCTAGTAAGGCCAATTTGAATATAAACAAAAGAATATGAAACTAATGTGGCCAATTTTGCATTGGGTCTAAAAAGTGTCAGTTATTTTCGACATTGTTTCCCGTCATTTCAATGCAGTATATGCACGTTTTTGATAAAAATGGCTAGATATCAGCCAAGTTTCCGTTTCTACAGGAAAACGTTTCTTGAAGGGCCTGTAATCCTAAAAGTAGTATAGTAGGAATGTGTAACTCCGTTCTTTGGGAGGTAAATTGGAAAAACAGAAAAACGCTAAGATATCATTGGCGTTAGCGTATCATTCCTCAAAGTTGTAAACTTTCCCCTCCAAAAACGCAGAAACCATTCCTACTCCTGAGATGGACAGATCTGGATGCTGGCGATATAGTAAAGTATAATTAGGTTCTCTAGACTAAGTCAGGTTAATTGAAAGAGACCGTCCTTTTTCATTAAGTTATTTATTCACTTGAATGTCGTGTAGACAACAACCGTATGATGATAAATCTAAAGTCAACTGTCGTTTTGCAGCGTTTATTTTAGATTTGTTGAACCGGGGCGACTTAAAAAAGCTTAAAAAAATCTTCGCAATAAGAGAACGCAAACAACAAATTCCTAAATAATTCGCCTTGACTGGTATCCTGATAAAAAGATAAGTCTTAGAATTTCTCCTTCATTTATGACCACGATAAACATTCTAGACAAGAAGAGTTGCGATTTCAGTTGTTTCCCTTTAGAATTTTAAATGTTATGGATGCATTTGCGGGGTTTGTGCTAATCACTGAACAAGCCAGAGTTTCTCTCGTCTACCCCCCCCCGAACAAATCGTACGCTTCTTTGGTGCCAAGAACATATGCCTAGCAAGTACTATGGATTCCACGATGTGGCGCGTCTCTTTACAGTGTTTTACGGATGACGTCGAAGTGTTGTTAAATGGAGGTACCTGATAAAAACGTTAAAAACGTCGCAATAAATAAAATGTGACCATAATCGTGAGGCAAATCTAACGCGAGCGTATCAGTGTAATATATCTGTACAAAAATTAGAGTTGAAAAGATAACTAGGTTTGTCGGTTCTGTTCTGGTTATCGTTTTACAGTTGTTCCTTTGCTTGATATTTGGTTCTTTTTTTGTTTTAGTCCTGTTTAATTTTCGCGTTAGGGAAGCCAAAAGAATGGTACGATTCTCATAAAACGTGGATATCGACAAAAAAGTAAACAGTCAAGTTTAAGTGGTCTTTTCTCGTTTATCTAAGGCTGCAGTGCAAGTGGATAATCGTGAACCAGAACAAATTTCCATGAGACAAATGACTTCAGAGGTTTCGTCTGGACATTATATGCCACTGGTTAAGGCACGCCAATCATCTGGCTCACCGGAAGTCATTCCGTCAGTTGACGCTTCATCATTAAGCCATTATGAACCTTTAAACCCGTCATCAATTTCTCACGAAATTCTTCGCCAGAACGTGATTATTGAGAGGATAATTGGCAAAGGTGCTTTTGGTCAGGTTGCCAGGGGAAAGGTTAAAGGCCTACGTGAAAGACAACATGTCACACAGGTGGCTGTCAAAATGTTAAAAGGTACAACATAACTTGATTGATCAATGTGTAACTAATAGTGTAAGAATAGGCTAACTGAAAAATAAAGGAATGTAACAGAAACGATTGACAATGAAAACGCTCGTTACCTCACCTTTCAGCTGACGCGCCGGACTCCGACAGGAAGGATTTGTTATCAGAGCTTGAAGTGATGAAGACGTTAAAGCCTCATCCGTACGTCATCAAACTACTTGGATGCGTCACCGAATCTGGTAGGCGATTGTCTTTAGATACCAACTATTATGTTGCAATTAAAGGGTCAGTCGAGTCATTTCAATTGTACCTTTTTCAGTCTGAGTTAAGTCTCTTTGCCCGTGAATGACTAAATGAATACGTCGTTTTCTACTCAGAGCCCTTGCTAGTCTTGATCGAGTACGTTCCGTACGGGGATCTTCTGGGTTACCTGAGAAAGAGCCGTGGATTAAATGACACTTATTTCAAAGACCCAGATATCAAACCACAAACAAGTCTGACGTCACAAAATTTGATGAAGTTTTCTTGGCAAGTTGCTGATGGAATGAGTTACCTCTCATCCAGATCTGTAAGCTGAAATATTTTACTATTGTGTATTCAAATAAGTCTGGTGCAGACTGCCTACATTGTGCAAACCAAAATTATGCAGTTAAGAACACACTCAATTCCCCTCACTTTAATTTCCGCCACTTTTTGCTTTAATTTGCGTTTTGATATACCTACTACACAATGGTAGACTGCAAAACAGTCGGGTTTTTTTCTCAAAATCAGTAAAGAAATCGGTAAAGAGTGTTGCGTGCGCGAAGCGCACGAGCCTCACCCGCCCGTAGGGCGTGTGAGGCCAGAGAAAAAAAACCGACTGTCCGTTTTCCATACAATGAGTTCGTTCCGACCAGGGGGTTCAAAAATGTCGTTGAGTTGTCAAAAATCTGTTCACTACTCCGCCCTCTTTGTGAATTTGATACACTCGGTGATTGATTTCGAGGGAGAATAGCGCGTGTTATAGTCCGCACTTGGCTTCAAATCTTGACGCTGTAATCCAGTAATTCTAAAGCAGTTTTTAGCGTTGCTTCTCTGTGAAATGTAGTGTACATAGTGAAATGTAGTATATATAGTGGAGGATCAAAAATGTGTGGAAGTGGCAGTACGACAACAAAGCCTGTGCCTGCTCCTCGAAGAGGGAGAAAGCTGAAAGAGCCGAGCACTTCGGTTACAAATTGTAGAATGTGCGGCTGTTGTTTTGGGTCGACCGACTGAAAAACGAACTTTTCGTTGTCCTCCAGGAAGGAGAATCTTTCTCCACAAGAGTTTGCTCTCCGTGTGGAACAAAGGTTAGAAACTGCCCCGGGAAACTGCACGGCGATGCTTTCGCAAATTAGAAGAACTGAACACGCCAACTGACAATGAACAATTATTGCGATTGAAAAGAATGAGTAAATCCCCTCATTCCAATCCACGTCTTGGTGATTTAGCTCTGTAAATCACTATCTGTGAGAATTTAAAATCCTGCTAAAAAAGCTAACGAGCTGGGCCCAGTGTGACAAAACATTGCAGGAAAAAGTCACATTCACGGACACAAATAAAATCGCTTAAAATTATTCAAATCCAGGAGGCACTTTAGAGAAATAAACCAACCTAAAACCCTTAATCAGCCGCAAAGAAGAACTTTACATTTCTAAAGGAGCCAAGAAAGAAAATGCTCTTGCATCAAAGGGCAAATCATGCCGACCAGAGAAAATCAATATGCGTGTCACAACCTCTCAGTATGAAATATATTTAATAAGGGGCCAAAATTCACATTTGCTCAGTCAAAACGTTTTCCTCCAAAGCATAATCTACTCTCGACAGAGAAAACAATTCATTGGACCAAGCAGCATTTTTGCATGAGGTAAAAGTCGTGTGATTCCTACCGATCCCCCTTTTTTAGCCACGGAACTTTTTTTTTGCATGAACAAACATCTGATAAATAAGGCTTTTGTCAAATCCTGTTCTTAGAACACAGAAAACATCCTTTCCCCTGAGCAGCAACTCCAAAGCTTCCCTCTGCTCCGATTTTAAAACAAATCCCAATTCTTGGGAGCAAATCCAGGCATCAAAATCCGTCATTTTACAGCGAAAGCTTTAGGAATTCATCACGGTAGGGAATATCGCGAATGAATTGTTGAAAACATTACTTGGCAGCTTGGTGACTGCTTGCATCGAAATTTAGCCAATGGGAATTGCCCGTGGCTGGGAGAAGCAAGTAATTCGAACGAATATAACGTATGCAAAACGGACAGTCCGTATTTTTAGCGTCTCTCCCCAGTCTCGCTCACTGTTTTCAGCCTCGTTCTAGACCTTTTGTTCGACTGCTTGCTCGTACTTGAATACGCAAAAATACGGACTGTTTTGCAGTCTACACAATGGCGATTTCATAAAATGTACGTGCGGCTGGGCTGGTGTGAATTAGGACGTTCAGACGTGAAACTGACAGAGCTCTTGCTCTTCTATCCTGTTGGTGACTTGCAAGGTTTCAAGCTAGTTTGAAATCAAATGTCACATTGCAGATTATTCATCGAGACCTTGCCGCTCGAAATGTTCTGGTTGGAGAAAATGAAACTTGTAAAGTGACTGACTTTGGAATGGCGAGAGATGTGCAACAGGAAAACGTTTATGAAAGGAAAACTAAGGTATGTATTGTATTGGAAACTGACGTAGAGTATAGGACTGGCATGCAATCCTTTGTCGTTAACTGGAGGAAAACACGTCAGGCTTTGTTTATTATGTCGCTCCTTTCTTGGTTTCATGCTTTAAGAGTTGCTCCCAAAACTGTAGCCCAGGAAGTTACGGCCTTGTGTGTAAAGTTGGTAAAACATTTGACAAGTCTAACAAAGCATAAGAGACTATTTTGCCGGTCACCAAAACGTGGGATTAGATTACATATTTAAGGTGATTATGGTTGTCTGAGTGTGGTAATATAAAGATGTCTTTTGCCAGGCATAATTTTTTAATTCACCTGCATATAAAAGAAGATTACTAATTTTATACTTGAAAAGAAGTCTTAGAGAACGGCTAAGTGAAACTTTCTTCGGTTTTGTCCTTCCACACTAAGACAGGAAGGAAGTGTAAAAATAGAAAGTTGCGTGTAAACGAAGCCTGAGTTTCATTTTTGCAGTAACGATTATTTTAAAATTTTAAGATGGCCTTTTGATCTTATATTTCGGCGTATATTTTTCTAACGACTGTCTTTTTCGCTAAGATGCAGGGAAACAAGGTAGTACATTGATTTTTCATTATCTTCCACTTTCGCCTACTTTTCGGCAACTCGCTATTCCATGTCTTATGGTCATTTACTTTGTTGATATGTAGGGTCGTCTACCAGTGAATTTGACCGCATATGAAGCTCTGCTCTACGGACGATACACCACCAAGAGCGACGTGTAAGAAAACTATCTATATATGCATTAATAAGTTGATATTTGCAGAACAGCAGTTCCTCATCGCGTCACGTGAGAAGAAGGAAGC